AAATGATCATAATAATGATAATGGTGAGTCTACAAATAAATATTTTAACTTTTCTCTTTGGAATTTTAATGTTTTTTTGTGAGTACCAAGGTATGAAGATAATGTGTAGGAATGCGAGTTAACCAATGTACGAGCCATCATAATTTATTTTCTTCATATATATTGAATGTTTATATAACCCTACAAACTAATTTCAAGGTTTTACCGATAACCTTTCTATAAGGAAATAACTTTTTAAGCTTACATTATTGACTCTATACTAATGATGGTTCATGAGGGTTAGTGAAAAAAAACAAAGTGAAGGTATTTTTTCTTTCTTTTAAGTGGTAATTCTTTGGTTAAACAGATATGACATGAGTTTCGCACATATGATTTCTCAAGATGTTAGGGTTATTGCGACTTAGAGATTTATTTATTATAAGGACTCTTGTCTTCCAAATTAGAGAAAGGTTTATACACTATATTATATAGTTGTTCGAATAAAAAATATTTTGGTAGACAAATTTATGTTGTTTGATTATACACAACTAAATAAAGGAGTTTTTTTTCCATAAAAACTGTTATTTGAAAAAAAAAAAGAGAATATGTTTTATATAAAGTTTGGTTCTACTTTACTAAAAAAAGAGTTTCATACAATATCGATGTTATTGGAAAGATTTTTACAAAGAAATTCCAATTACATATTCTTAATCAAATATTAACTTTGTATAAAAGGTTAAGAGCAAAGCAAACAAAAAAATAGTAGTAAAATGAATTTAATAATATAATAGTAATAATTATAACTAACGTGCACGATGTTTTGTTAAAATGAAGCCAAGTGTTTCAAATTCACATTGGTAATTATATTGTCAGTAAAATAGTAAATTTTTGGGGATGTTAGTTTTTTTAAACCAATTACTTAATCACGAGGTGAGAAAATAAAATTTACCAAAATAAATTTTACATTTTTTTTAAACACTTTGAAAAAAAACATACTATGGTATAATGGTAGAACTGGATGAGAACCTCCGACATGAAAAAGAGCCTGTAGAAATTTGAATCTTAAAATATGACAATCAAGAAGTGCCACTAGGTAAAGTCGTTTGTCAGAATTACGATGTAGAGGAATTCTTATACGTGGGAGACAAAAGAGTCAATGTGAAATCATTATCCTCACTTTTTTTTTCCGGACAACGTGTCAGGTAAATTTCGAGGACGAATTTTTCCTTAAGGGGGTGAGAAATGTAACGCCCTAAAACCGGTCTAGGAATTTTAACTTTCTAGTACAAAGAAATGAAAACAATAAAAAAAATAATTAAAAAAATATATGCGAAAATAATAATAATAATAATAATAAAATTTAAAATTTAAAAAAATGTTACTATTATTTATTTAGAAACAATTAATTTGGAATTTAATATTAAATGATTAATTACTAGTAGAGATGAAAAAACAGAGTAAAGTGAAAGGGAATAAAAAATTAGTTTGGTTCTCTACTATTCACATAATTTGTTCAAATGAACCTATTTTCTTAACAAACAGATTATGTTAAAATGATGTGTGAAAAATATGAAAATTAACGGTATAAGTTTTATTTTTTTCTATAAATATTTAATAAATGAAACTGTGGAAATCGGACACATAATACTAAATAAACGGAGCAGGAAAACATTTGTTTTCTCCTCCTTTCTCACGCCACATAGTAATCTCCACCTTCCCCCATTCATTTCACCTCATTAATTAAGAGGAGTAATGATTTATTTTAATAAAAAAAATAATAATATTTTTTT